AAGATAGTGCTTCGGTTCCTGATGGGTATTCTTCGCTATTTTATCAGCATTGTTGGGACTTGATTCAGTGTGATGTTTGTGAAGCGGTTTGGGATTTCTTCGAGGGTGGATCTATGCCTGCGAGCTTCACCGCTACCACCTTGGTTCTTATTCCAAAGGTGGACTTTCCGACGGCTTGGACAGATTTCCGCCCGATTAGCTTGTGCAACGTGACCAATAAAATTATCACCAAGGTACTTACGAACAGACTGGCACCTCATTTGCCCCACATTATTTCTCCTTCTCAGAGTGGGTTTGTTCAGGGTCGTCTCATTAGTGATAATATTTTATTAGCACAAGAGATGGTCCACTCGATATCAGTTCGTTGTCGAAATCCAAATCTTATTTTGAAGCTGGATATGGCAAAGGCTTATGATAGGGTTCAGTGGCGGTTCTTATTTCGTGTACTCGAGCTGATTGGTTTCTCGGCGAACTTGGTTGATATTATTCGGCGATGTGTTTCCTCGTGCCAGTTCTCTTTACTAATCAACGGGGAGCTGACGGGGTATTTCACTTCGTCTCGTGGTCTAAGGCAGGGAGATCCGCTCTCGCCGACTCTTTTTGTACTTGCGGCTGAGTATTTTTCGAGAGGTCTCGATGCACTATACAGCCGTTGCCCAAGCATGTTTTATTCTACAAGGGGAGGCATCCCTATATCCCATTTGGCCTATGCGGATGATGTGATGATATTTACCTCGTGCCATAATTTTGGCCTGAAGAAGCTGCGGGATTTTCTCGATCATTACTGTCGGACTTCGGGTCAGTTGATTAGTGTGCACAAGAGCACTTTCACAGTTGATAGGGCATGTTCTGATGGTCATCTTCGCACTATTTCTCGGATTCTCAGTTATCCGAGAAAGGATCTTCCTATCATTTATCTTGGAGCACCACTATACAAAGGGAGGGACCGGGGCAGTTTGTTTCACACTTTGCTTGATCGCATGCAAGCCAGGATTTCGGGTTGGGCTCGGACCGCTTTGGCTTTCGGGGGCCGTCTTGCCTTGATCCGGAGTACGCTTTCGACTATGGCTTTGCATCTTGTTCAGGTTATTCAACCTCCGCAGTACATTATTCAGCAGATTGAGCAGTGCATGGCCCGATTTCTCTGGGGATCTTATGGTAATCAGCGCCGGCCTCATTGGGTTGCTTGGGAGACGATTTGTCGGCCAGTTGGTGAGGGTGGCTTGGGGTTGAGGCGTTTGACGGATGTGATTGACGCCTTCACTTACAAGCTCAGGTTCCGATTCCGTGCTCAGGATTCTCTTTGGGCCCGTTTTCTCCGAAACAAGTATTGTCGGAATCGGTTCCCAGGTTCATCCGTTGTGTCTTCACTCTATAGCACGGTGTGGAAGCGCATGTGCCGTGTCCGAGAGCGTGTTCAAGCTCAAATATTTTGGCGGATTGGTCCAGGTCATGTTTATTTCTGGCACGACCACTGGTTTGGCGATGGTCCCCTTTCGGGCATTATTGATGGTGGTCGGCTAACGTCAGTTCGTGTGGAGTATTATTTGGTTAACGGTCAGTGGGATCGAAACAAGCTAGCTGAGGATATTCCTTTTGAGTGGATCGATAGGATTTGCTCGGTCCCAATCTCTGGTGCTTCGGGTGATTTGCCCATTTGGAGAGCTTCGTCAAATGGCAAGTTTTCCTTGACCTCGGCTTGGGCCTTGATACGACAACACCATACCCCTACCCCTCTTCTTCGTATATTTTGGGGATCTTGTCTTACTCCTACAATTTCTATCTTTCTTTGGCGTCTTCTTCTTCGGCGTCTTCCAGTGGATACCAAACTTCAGTCTCGAGGCACCTCTCTTGCCTCGAGGTGCTATTGTTGTCCAGATCCATCTATCCCTGTGTCGAGTCTTGTATCTCTGTCTGTCGAGTCTCCTTCTATTGAGTCGATTGATCATATCTTCGTGGAGAGCCCGACGGCTAAGAGGGTATGGCATCATTTTTTCTATCTTTTTGGCTATACACCTGCACACACTACGCACATACCCCAGATTTTACTTTATTGGCAGCACTTCACTTCGCACACACTCACACACCACACACACATCACAACCATTGTGCCTTGCTTGATCTTGTGGTACTTATGGATTGCAAGAAATGATAGCAAGCACAAGGATATCACGGTTCGCGCTTCTTCCATCATTTACAGGGTCATCCAGCACATCAGGATTCTTCACCAAACCAAATTACTTTCGGCGGACAGCTGGACTGGCATTCCCCACGTGGCTGAGTCTCTTGGCCTATATTACCGAGTCAGAACACCAACTCTCACACCTCATCGAGTTGTTTGGCTTCCACCGGATCCGGGTTGGGTGAAGCTAAACACAGACGGAGCCCGTAGAGCATCCACCCAGATTGCAGCTATTGGCGGGATTATCAGAGGTTCGGACGCTGAGGCCATACTTGCATTTCACGAGAGGATCTCTGCCCCGAGCAGTATTGCAGCCGAGCTTGCTGCCCTTGCCTCGGGGCTGCGATTTGTTATTCAGAGGCAATTCACTAGAGTTTGGATCGAGCTTGACGCAGAAGTCGCTGTTCGACTTCTTTCGCACACGGACCAAGGTCATTGGAGTCTTCAGAGTTCTCTCACGGCGATCCGGAACTCTCTTTCTACTTTGGAGTACAGGATTACACATATCTACCGGGAGGGCAATACAGTAGCTGATGCATTAGCTAACTTGGGGTGTCAGACCGAGTTGGCTCGTACCTTCACAACAGCGGAGCTTCCCCGACCTATTCAGCAGATGATTCGGATGGACCAGCTTGGATATCCATCCTTTCGACGACATTCTCGCACATAGGTGCCATGCATTCCACTTTTTTATATTATTGGCAATTTAGGAATTTTCGTAAACTTTACATGTTAGGAAGGGTTGGGGTTATTATGGATTGTTTGGGTCTATCGAGACTAGACTGTTTGCCGAATGGTGCCACACATTTCGCAGCCGTTATACCAGTTTCGCCCATTTTTGGCGAAAGTGTAAGTGGCCTCGGCTGTTGTGGTGAGGCGAACGGTCTACCTTGGTCTTCCACGACCTTCTATGATCATTCCCTACCCGTCCCTTTTATTATTTGGGCCACCTGTGTTTGCCCGTATTCTTAACGTTTTGTTAGTTAGCTATTGTCTTTTGTTTGTCAACTGCTATTATTAGCCATATGTTGGGCAGTAGCAATTTGAGCAAAACTCATTATGTACTTCTTAAATATTGTTTTATAAACAGGTAGGGGGTCAAGCCTAACCCCCCACCCTCATCGGGTGTCGTTCTCTTAAAAAAAAAAAAAAAAAAAAAAAAAAAAAATTCCTGTCTAATGTCAAATTTCCGAATTCGGACTCGAACATGGAATGCATAGCACAAGCTAGTTCCGTAAGGAGAGGAACAATGCTTAGCTCAAAGCTAATTCCAATAGGAAAGTAATAATGCTTAGCTCGATGCTAATGGCAAAAGGAAAGTAAGAAAGCTTAGCTCGAAGCTAATGTCCAACGGAAAGTAAGAATGGTTAGCACAATCTAATTCCATAAGAAAATAAAATAAAAATCAAAATTAAAATAAAATTAAAAATAAAAAAAATAAAAAATAAATAAAAATTAAAACTAGAATTTAAAATAAAATTAAAATAAAAATTAGAATAAAAAATAAAAAAAATAAATAAAAATATAAGAAAAATTATAAAATAAATAAATATATAAATATATAATAAAGAAAAGCTAGTTCCACAAGAAAAGGTATAATGCTTAGTTCGAAGCTAATGCCAAAAGGAAACTGAGAATGCTTAAGCACAAGTTAATTCCATAATAAGATGAGCAACGATTAGCTCAAAGCTAATGCCAAAAGGAAAGTAATAATGCTTAGGTCGTAACTAATGGCAAAAGGAAAGTAAGAATGCTTTGTCCGAAGCTAATGCCAAACGGAAAGTAAGAATGCTTAGAACAATCTAATTCCATAAAAAAATAAATTAAAATTAAAATTAAAATTAAAATTGAAATAAAAATAAAAAAAGATTAAAATAAATATATAAAATAAATAAATATATAAATAAATAATAAAAAAAGTTAATTCCATTAGAAATGGTATAATGCTTAGCTCGAAGCTCATGCCAAAACGAAAGTAAGAATGCTTAGCACAAGCTAATTCCCTAAGGAGAGCAACAATGCTTAGCTCGAAGCTAATGCCAAAAGGAAAGTGAGAATGCGTAGCTCGAAGCTAATGAATGCCAAATGGAAAGTAAGAATACTTGGATCGAAGCTAGAGCCAAAAGAAAAGAAAGAAACCTTAGCACAAGCAAATTGCATAAGGAGAGGAATAATCCTTAGCTCGAAGCTAATACCAAAAGGAAAATAAGAATGCTTATCTAAAAGCTAATGTTAAACGGAAAGTAAGAATGCTTAGCACAAGCTAATTCCATAAGAAGAGGAATAATGCTTGGAGTGGAACAATGCTTAGCTCGAAGCTAATTCCAAAAGGAAAGCAAGAGTGCTTAGCTAAAAGCTAATGTCAAAAGGAAAGTAAGAATCCTTAGCACAAGAAAAATCGATAAGAAGAGGAATAATGCTTAGCTCGAAGCTAAAGCCAAAAAGAAAGTAAGAATGCTTGGCAAAAGCTAATTCCATAAGAAGAGGAAGAATGCTTAGCTGAAGCTAATGCCAAAAGGAAAATAAGAATGCATAGCACAAGCTAGTTCCGTAAGGAGAGGAACAATGCTTAGCTCAAAGCTAATGCCAATAGGTAAGTAATAATGCTTAGCTCGATGCTAATGGCAAATGGAAAGTAAGAAAGCTTAGCTCGAAGCTAATGTCAAACGGAAAGTAAGAATGGTTAGCACAATCTAATTCCATAAGAAAATAAAATCAAAATCAAAATTGAAATAAAATTTAAAAAATAAATAAATAAAAATTAGAATAAAAAATAAAAAAATTAAATAAAAATATAAGAAAAATTATAAAATAAATAAATATATAAATATATAATAAAGAAAAGCTAGTTCCACAAGAAAAGGTATAATGCTTAGTTCGAAGCTAATGCCAAAAGGAAATTGAGAATGCTTAGCACAAGTTTATGGCATAATAAGATGAACAACACTTAGCTCAAAGCTAATGCCAAAAGGAAAGTAATAATGCTTAGCTCTTAACTAATGGCAAAAGGAAAGTAGGAATGCTTAGCCCGAAGCTAATGCCAAACGGAAAGTAAGAATGCTTAGAACAATCTAATTCCATAAAAAAATAAATTAAAATTAAAATTAAAATTAAAATTGAAATAAAAATAAAAAAAGATTGATGTAGGTATATAAAATAAATAAAGAAAAAATGTGTTGGCGGGAATATAAACCTTGATATGTGCTCGTGCATGATCTGTGGGTGAAAGCTGCTGCAACTTCCCGCACAATGCCACGTCGTGGCGCAATGTTATCAAAGGCCGGTGGGTATACCGAAGCTAATGCCAA